GTGACCATGGGTATTTTGTCTCCGCGTTTGAGTATTCGACGCATCACAGCATAAAGCGCACCCACATTGTATTCACTAGTTCTTAGTGAAATAAAATGCTGAAAGACAAACTCATGAGTAGAGTAATGTTCAATTTGAGTGAATAAGGTTTAGAACCCACTCTCATCTGGTCTCCAGGAAGGGCTGATAGGGATTCAAGATCGGAAGGTATTACCCGAACAGAAACGCGTAACATTTCGTCATAAAATTGTATCATGCGAGTCTGAAACGATCTTTTATAACTTTCTACGAGAAAGTTCACAGTAAAGCTAAGTTAAAACACAAGCGGCTGGCAGTAGCATATCCCTTGTGCAACACGCAAGGCATCACTTTGGCCTATGAGTGGCCTCACATGCAATAACGGAGATCAATGTTACAAATTGCCGCTTTTTCCAACATATAATTTCGAGCCGCTGGGACTGTAGAGGCTAGTTTCACGTATCGGACAAAAGAACCTTACTGCCAGAGAACACTATAGAGACCCTGTTCTGAAAAGTAACCAAATACTCATTCGACACGATTCCTGGCTTATGTGCTGTTCTTCATACCCAGGGACCAGATGCAGCAAGCCCCAACTCGGAAATGGGTTCCCAAAACTCTGCATCCCTAGTCTGGTCGACGATGCATGGTCAATAATAGGGGAAGCGTCCAGAAATGCAATTTCGAAGACTCATCCCCTAGGTGGGGCTTGCTGCACCCGGCCTCAGAAGCATTCTAACAGTCCTTGACCTGAATAAGGAAATTTGTCATCTACCGAAAAAAGACGGTTCCCTGTGGCCACGCTCTGCACAGTGTGACCGGGAAAACCAATGATGGCCTCGGTACGTAATGTGCTAGATTCCCCATTATAGATATTAAATCTAACATCTTCTTTGATCTGAGCTCGAAGATCTTCATTGCCGGCGTGGAAGCACAACTGCATAGGAAGAAGACCCTGAAAAGGACGCAGTATCACCATTCGTTTACTGTAATTCGCAGAAATCTAACAGATAAATACTTCACTTGCACGTATCGACGAGCTCTTAGAATAGATTCTGGTTGCCCGTAAAATAGAAAAATAAAGTTTGCGACGATTCCTCCGAGTGAGAAGGAAAATGTAGTAACGCTTTTGTAAAACGAGAGATGACCAGCTGCAATCATATTGAATTAGTAATAGAACGAAACAAGTTAGAAAAAGTCATGCCCATTCTGCAGAACTGCCTCAACCGTAAAATGGCGTGTAAGGTCGGAATGTAAAAACACATATTGCTTTGAATGGAAACAGTGGAGGATAGAGCTGGCTAGAAGCTCTCTTCATTTCTTTTCGGCAGACAGTTTTCAGTTTGCATCTGATTCATCAATAACATGAAAGAAGGATGCCGCAGATGCAATATGTTCGTAACGTAAGCGTCCGTAGCAAGCTTGAGCTTGCGAGCGCCCATATAACAGAGAGTTCATTAATAGAAAGTATACCCAGTAGCCTGAAATGCCTAATTACAGGCCGTACTCTCCATGCAGCAACTGTCTACTAAATCGGTTGTGTACAGTTCCGCAATTATTGTGTAATTACCAGTTGTGCTCCATCCGGTGTCCCACACAAGCTGAGATCGTTGAGCAGCTGGAACTTCCATATGTGTCGAAAAAGAAATCTGAAAGCTACAAAATAACTGGAAGTTATTGGCAACATAACAACTCGCAGCGATGGGTATTTACTAGTAAGAATTTTTAGCAAATTAATTGGAGGCAGATTTCCCTAATATTAACGTTGGCAAAGAAAAGTTAGGCTGATGTCAGAGCCGCGATCCGTCGCAGGTTTCGCTGATTTGCGCGATTCACGCGATTTACGCGATTCACGCGATTTGCGCGATTTGCGCGAAACCTGCGACGGATCGCAAAAATTGCAAGTGTGTGAACATTTGAAACACTGAATATGAAACAAGTGGAATCATGAGCAGTCGTCATTCAGCCATCACTATCAAGCAGAAGTGGCGGCAGGATTGGAGAACACCTTGCAGTATTGATCGGGCACTTGTGATTTCCGTGACCCGTCGCGTGAATCGCGCAAATCGCGAAAATCAGCGAAACCTGCGACGGATCGCGGACTCTGACACCAGCCTTACACTTTTTTGCTGCTCCTCAGGACTGAATCAATCATACTTCGTCAAATTCAAATATATAATAAAATAATAATATAAAATAAAATATTTGTGATGTAGGAATTAATTAACGTTTTCCAAACTATGAAAAAGCTCTTCATTTTGTGATATCACGATCCCATCATCCACCCAATCCTTTGAAGATACATATGAAGCATTTGGCGAGAGTCAGTTCCTTTTCGGAATGTCCACGCAATATATTCCAATTCGAAAAAGTGGCATACGAGTGCGATTCAGCCGATAAAATGACTCGCGGGAGCGAGCCGAGGTTAATACTCCCAGACAAGTCTGCCTCCAAAAAACCGCACAAAGTATGTCTCGCTGTTGAAGTTACACATAAAATTTAGAATATCATTAATTTCGGATGCGATCCAGTCAATAATATACCGAAAGCTTGAACGAAGATGGTGTGCAGACCTTTTCAGCAGCTTCTGGAATAAATAACAATTCACGAAGACGTTCGCAGGCTTGTAAAAGTAATTCTTCATCTGCAACGCGACCAGTAATGCGTATCACAGGTTCCTGAAAAAACTTTCATTCAACCCAGTCGGCTTCCGCGATCGATTGCCATTGAAAGGACAGATGATTGTCACGTATTACAAAAGACGTTATTCTCTCGGGTAAATAGCTGACAAACTTCTCCTGATACAAATCTCCTCCCTTTTTGGGAAAAGCAGCATTATACTAGGCTTAATCCGCACAAACGCTGCTCAAAACGATCGCACGCTCAAATGTGATGCATTTCTCGTGGTAATACATAGGGCGCAGGAATACCTCTATCTTCAGTCGAAAACATTCAAGAACAAGGTCAAGGTAAGAAGTGAAGAAAATATAGAAACAAAACTTTCTAAACGAACCTTGAACGATGTCGATACAGGTTGTGGAAGCGCTTGTATCACAAGGGTAGGAAAATTAAGAGAACCATCTTCTATTTTTTCTTTTATCCAACAATTGAGCTTTTTGTAGGGTACACCTTCACGTAGCCTCTCAGACACAGCAAACATCAATACAAGAGGGCAAAATTTCTGGAAATAGTACAGAATTATCGCATGAATGTACATAAATGTTTGGTTAATATTTTATGAAATGCCCCAATTCAAGCGATGTACTCCCAAAACAAAAAAAAAAAAAAACGATGATAAGTACCCGCAATCGAATTCGTGCTTCTTCGACGCCTGTCAGATGTCCAGTGATGGTTACCTGAATATTCACAAACAATTCTTTCCGTATGTTAAACGACCTATTTCACATCCCGCATTTGAGGAGCCATACAACCGCCTATATGAACAAAATATACTTTTCTGCGCACTTACTAGATAACATAGTAACTTCCCTAACAACGATTGAGCAAATTGCGAAAATTACCAGCTGTCTTGTAAGCGCTAAAACAAATTCGACGCCGCTGTGCATTCTTTTCCTTTTTGCCCACCTTGTTCGCTACATATAATGGAACGGTATTGATGGCTCAGTTATTGACACACAGATTATTAAAGCGCTTACAAGAACTGCCTGAGGCATAATGAATTGATCAGCACTCAGAACGACAAAGAATTTGTTTAGTACCTGGTGAATGAAATCGGGGTTAGGTTCATCGCGATCAGGAAATTGTATTATAGTGTTTGTATCTAGCATTATATTCGCACAACTCTCTTCAGTATTGCTGAGTGTCCTGAAACTTATTAGAAACAATGAAAACACGATAAACTCTGGATTCTAGTGAAAGACCTTTTAGTGAACATCTCTTCATAATCACTATAAGTCACCTCCATCGTAAGAGTCACCTGTTCAACATCGACGAGTTCCTAAAATGTTAATCCATTTTTTTACAACGTGATGATACGCTTTAGAAAGCAGGGTACTGACTATTCAACTATTACAACCCCAAAATCTAGAAATTTTATTTTCATCGAAACTTGACCCATAGGGATATTTCTGTGCGTTGATTACGCAAATGACATACATTTTTAGCGGTGGCGCCATTTGGTGCAGTCACTTCTGCAAAAGATTACAAGGTGTTCTCATTACGAAAATGACATTCATTCTTGGATGGTACCATTTGGTGCCCATTTTCTGTTCGTCTGCGCCCTCTTACTGATTAGATCACTATCAGGACTAAGCCTTTGGAGATAGGAGGGCTCCGAGTGAGTAAGCCACTCACCATGTGATCTTATACAGTGCAAGTTTTGCCACACTATGCCTGGTTTACTCAAACTGGGTCCACCCCCAAGCTTAGTCAAAAGCATTATGCATGAGAGAGCTCAGGAAAATGGGAAATATGCGTTAAACAGCGCCATGCCAAAAACGAATGTCATATTCGTAATCAGGACACCAAATAACCCCTATACAGAAGTTTACACCGAATTTGGTGAAAACATGTGTCGTGACAAGGTGACGCCAACTGGCGCCAGATGGCGCCACCGCAAAAATGAATGTCATTTTCGTAATCAGGGCACCGAATTACCCCTACGGAAAGTTTCGACGAAAAATAAAATTTTGAGATTTTGGGGTTGTAAAAGTTTAATAGTGCCGAAAGAAGACAAAGAAAGAACACAACAGCAACAAAAGCACGACCTGGTTCAAAAGTCAAATCCAAAAATGGAACAGAGTACGTAACAAAAAAAGTATAACGAAATTTCAGAACCATATATGGAAATAAGGAAAAAAGGAAAGGAAATAACGACAGACAAATTACTGATTTCTTGATTCAAAAACTCACTGAAATTGGAGTACCTTTGTGAGAATCTTTCAATGAGTGCGGGTTTGTTCCGATGAGGTTACATAGGTGTAGTTCGTTAGGACCGAACGCAATATTTTCGTTTCGCGGCGCTAGGCTTTTCTCGCTGCGAGAACCCCAGGCCCACTAATGGTCGGGTGCACACTTGAGGTTCCCGCACTGCAAAAAGTGCTGCAAAAAGCACAAATGTCGCGTTCAGTCCTAGCGACCCACACCCGAAGCCATGTAATGTACGAACTGCTCTTTCCCAATTTTACTCAGAGAATATGTCAAACTGCTGGCAGCCTAAATTCCTGCGCCATTTTCTTCGGGTTTTTCGTATGTTGCACACGTTCTTGTGCTGGATAATGATCGTTAAGAAACAGCCGATTGCTGGGGTAAATCGCGTGAGTCTGCCACATTCAATGTAGAAGGAACCCGCGGAAGGTAATTCTGCTCATTCAACCTGGAGCTAGTCCTTTGCGTAAGTCTAGACTAGTAATAATAAACAAACGAACCATCACCACTGAGCTATTACGCTTCATAACTCCGTTCGGAGAGCCGTTTAGCAGATTTGGAAGGCAGATTTGGAATCAGCGTCTAGAGACGCATCAGGTGGTATACATCTCATTTTATACGGCCACTTCGACCTACCATCCTTTCCTTGTAAGGAGGGCACTTAGGAGTGGGCTAGAAAAATCCTCTCCGAAGTTTCTTTCACGCAGAAAAAGAGAACCCATTCTGTCTAACATAGCGCCTGATACAGCGAGTAGCTAGGACTGGGACTATGAGAAGTGGACGCCGGGGGAACTACAAGTGCTCGCGTCTCGAAGACTCTCCTTAACCCTTACTAAGGACGCAGCCCTCGAACATCCACATGAAAATCGCAAATGGCCCTCTTTGAGGCTCAATTGAGCCCCTTGCAACCCGCAAAACCCTCGCCTTTAATAAAGTAACTCTGATTCTTTCTGCTTTAACACTTTCTCACTAATGTAAGCCCTACTACACATCGAGAAACTTATGAATCAATCATAAGAAACAACTTTGCCTCTTAGAAAGAAAATCAGATCCACCTATAAGTACATTTCAAAAAGGGAACGGTCACCTGAAAAAAATATGGCTTAACCCAGCTTTAACTTTTATTGTGGTGCCGTCCACTTCACCCTACAGCAATTGGCAATGAAGGACCTATGAATCATATTCTGACTGTGAAATTAGCTTTTGGTACCAACCTGACGCAAACTAGCTGGCTTCACAACACTTTCACGATAGCGCTCAATATCTGCTCGCCGTTTCAGCTCATTTGAAAGACGTGTGCGTCGATTGTGATCAACGCTCATCTGAAGAAGAACAGTACGAATGCAGGAATCGCCTATGCAAATTTAAAGAATGCACTAAATGTTGAAAAATCACCTTGGCCGACTGCTGACTGATGTGAAAGAACTGCTCGGGTTTGCATCGAAGTATTTGATCATCATGGGAAGGTCTAATAGAAGATCATCGGATGGAAAATACGATATTACTACGATGAGTTTCGTTCGACGGCGCCATCGTTATTTCGTTTGATTGAAAATGTGGTGAGAGGGACCTTGAGTGAGCTACATGTGCACGAAATGAATACCGTCTCGCCTGAAAAACTATCAGTTTCGTCCATATCAAGCAATCAAACCCGGAGAACGGAGTAGTGTTTTTGAAGTACATCTGACATGCTTGAAGGGATTTTGAGCGATATCCTAAGATGCAGCTCCCCACAAACTCGATCACCTGGGCAAGAATTATCCTGCGCAGTTACTTGGTGACGCAGTGGCCGAATATCAGACTATTGGCGATTGAAGCTAATTTCAACCAAATTGCAGGAGCGACGGATCGCTTAAGCGATGGGAGCGACGGGAGATTTACGAACTGATGGCGCCGAATTATCGGTGGTCGGCGGTGTAAATCTCCCGTCGCTCGCATCGCTCAAGCGATCCGTCGCTCCTGCAATTGGTGCAAAATCGCTCCAATCGCAAAGTCTGACATCGGCCACTTGCGCAAGCAACGAGCGCTTCTACCGGAGCCATATGTCATACTTTGCCATAGTCGGGCGAATCGCGCTATTTGCACCACTTGTCTCCCGTAATCTATGTTTCCAATCGGAGCATCTAGTTTACTTGCGCAGGGATGTAATACCTTGTTTCATCGAAATAAAGAACTACAAATGCTGCTTCGAGACATCGCACCTAAGCATCACTTGAATCGCGCGAAAGTCCCAAAGTCTGACGGCTTCCTGAATGTCGGCGCGAGCTAAAGCGATCGCAAGGATCTTGACTACCGCCCTAGGTGCCCAGCTCTACGCATCCGAGTTACATACAAGGAGGAGACGCTCCCTAGTCCAACCGCCATGTAAGCGCGAGCTGGTACGTACGATGCCGCTTCTTGTGGACAGTTTTACACAGCGAACTGCAGCCGGCTGCTCTTTAAGCAACAGATAAATGAACAGCGCGAAATAATAAATGGCAGACATGTAGGTCATAACAAGTATGCGTTGCGTGTTTGAAGATGCGGCAGCTTTCCCCCGAGCATGGCCCAGTATTTTGATCAGAGTAAAGTTTCGGGACCCTTTAGGTTCAGCTTACAACCTCCATACATATAGGATACGCAAAGGCACAAATTCTAAAGGTGCTCTGACAGAATGGGCCGATATTAAAGCAGCTTTGGTTGGAAATGTGAGTCATTCTCATTCAAATAGATCGCGGCATATAAAATTGGTCGAATTATGCAAAGGACGCTAGGATGAGCAAAATTTCGACGAACTTACCAACAAATAAGAACTTAAATTTCGATAAAAGAAATAGATGAACTAACTATCGTCTGGTAACCATCGCCTTCCCGCACGGCTCCCTCTCTCATGCTGAAATATTTTCCATATTCAAAACACACTATCTCATGGCATTATTGATTTCGATAGCAGTTATTCATCAAAAAAGTCATTCTTTCATCGGCGAAAAGCGGATCGGTTATATGCGGGGAAATTCGTTCAACCTGGGTGCACC